CTTGAAAATTTCATCCTTTCATCGGTCTAGAGCTTGCGCTTGGCACTATAATCACGTTAGTCAAAAGAAGTAGATGTGGCTCGGGAAACATACCATCTGCCAATAAGCCCCCTTTCTGTGCAACAATTCATTATGGGTTCCCGACTCAATAACCCTCGATCCCTGTCCCAACGCCCCTTCTGCAAAGACAAAAATTGCATCGGCTTTCTGAATAGTGGCTAGTCTGTGCGCGACCGCAATAATAGTCATGTTTCGCTTGCTTGCTAATCTCTCCATAGCACCTTGTACAAGACTTTCAGACTGAGAGTCCAAACTAGATGTAGCCTCATCAAGAAGGAGAAGTAGCGGTTTTCGGATCAGCGCTCGCGCAATGCAAATACGCTGTTTTTGCCCACCACTCAGCGAGGCTTGAGCGTTGACGCCAAGTTCTGTCAAGAAGCCATCTGGCAGGGATACGATGAAGTCGTAAATTTCGGCGTCCTTGCATGCTTGAATCATTTGGTCCTCGGTGTTCGGGTTATTGGGGGCTTCGAGACCGAGAAGGAGATTCTCGCGGATGGTTCCTTCGAAGAGTTTGGGCTCCTGGGCGACGAGTGATAAAGCATTTCTGTAAGAGGATAGTTCAATAGAACGAATGTCCCGGCCACCGAATAAGATGCATCCCTGAGTGCAGTCATAGAAGCGCTCGAGTAGCGAGACAAGCGTGGACTTTCCACAGCCGGAAGGTCCGACAAATGCTACAAATTGACCGCTCTCAATGGCGAGGTCCAAATTAACAAAGGTTGGTATCTCACGAGAAGAATATTGGAAAGAGACGTTTTTTAGTTCAACAGAGGGTCTGGGGGTGTAGTCCGAAGAAGAGAGCGGCCCCACTGGAACATGCTGAAGCTGTTCAGAAGTAGGTAGCCGTGCAGCCAATATGCGATTGGCAGAAGCTTTCGCCTGAGCAATGTTTGGACCAAAGCTGAAAAACTGTCCTGCCGATTGGCCGCCTTGAATAATAGCGATATAGACCACGAAAAATGCAACTGGGTCATATTCGTGAGACGCGAGGAGCTGGCCGCCGTACCAAAATGCGAGAGCCATGGCACATAGCTCAACACTGTCGGAAAACGCAAATACCAACGTTGCGTACCACGCCTTCCGAGTGGCTTTTTGACGCTGATCTTTCAGCAGGGTTGAATATCTTTTCAAAATTGTATCTTCCATGGTCAAAGCAGTGACCGTTCTGAAGGCCCGGACCGCCTCCGTTGCAAACTTGGAGCTATCGGCATAAACTTCGGCATTTAGGCTCTCGAATTTGATTTCATATCGAATGCGCATGAAGGCAGAGAAAAATAAAAATGGCATGGCGGCAAAAAAGGTGACAGCCGCCAGCTTCCATCCAAAGGCGAAGGAGATTGCAACACATCCAACGATGTTAAAGATCGAGATGAGAGGGAAAACACCAGTGGGACCAAACATTTCCTGCAACTGTTTTGAATCAGTGGAGAGTCTGGATATCAGAGTACCCGAGGAATTTTCCTCGCGGTCATAGTACGACACGGGTTTGGACAATAGGTTGTAGAAATAATCCATCCGAGCATTGGACACGACAAACTGAACAGTTAGCTTTGTTTGAAGTCCGTGTATTTGTAAGACTCACCATCGAGATCGAATTCGATGAAAATCCCAGCATGAAATAGAAGGTCGCCATGGCAAGAGCGAGGACGAAAAACATCAATGCCCAGAAGTTCGCAGCGTGCACGAGCTTCTCGCCAGTGAACTGGAAAACCTGCACAAGTCTAGCAAAAAGCCAACTTTGTAGGGAGAATCCCGCTATTGGAATCTGTAAGCATATATTTGGAAATATGCAAAAGAGCAAGGCAAATACTTACAACCTGCCCCTATAGCCCCGATCAGTGTCAGTGCATAGAAGATCCAATGGCTACGATTTTCATAAATGAGCACCCCAAAGCTGTGGAAAAAGCCAAAGGCTCTTTCAGGCTCGGGAGTATCCTGGCAATTTTGATCGCTGCTTTCTTTGGTGGTGTAAGCCTGAGCTCTGACTTCTTCTTTCTGCGAAGAAATCGAAACTGGCATGTCGGTATCCATCAAATCTGTCAATGGCTCTAGCTGTTGCGCATGGACCAAGCTATGGTATATCCCTTCCTTGAGTATCAACTCTTTGTGAGAACCTTCTTCAAAATTCTGGCCATCTTTCATGACGATGATCTTGTCCGCACGGCGGACGGTGGCCAACCGATGAGCGATCATGATTGTAGTGCGATCTTTGGACACACGATCAAGGGCGGCTTGCACAATCTTTTCTCCTTGAATATCGATCGAGCTGGTCGCTTCATCAAGTATGAGAATTTGGGGTTGGTTGACGATGCTTCGCGCGATGGCAATTCTTTGGCGCTGCCCGCCACTCAATGTAATTCCACCTTCCCCAACAGTGGTTGAGTAACCCTAGAAATAAAATAATCAGATTTTCCGTCATAAAGAAATGCAGTGCAAGAGGTGTAACGATACCATGGGAAGGCGGTCGATAAATTCGTCTGCAAAGGCTTGCTTGCAAGCTGCGGTGACGAGTTCCATCTTCACGGGTTCTGTATCGTTCTCCCACTGCGATCCGATCAGACCAAAAGCAACGTTGTTGTATATTGAGTCATTGAACAGAAATGGCTCTTGCTGAACAAGTCCAATTTGGGATCTCCACCACTTCACATCCAGGTCATTAATGTTGTGAGCTCCCACATGGATATGGCCCGACGTGGCCTCTTCTTCCTCAAACTGAAGTTGATACCATCGCTCGATCAAAGCGACGATGGTGCTTTTCCCCGAACCGGAGGGTCCGACCAGAGCCGTGGTCTTATTTCGCTCAAATCGAGCATGGAATCCCTTGAGCACGGTGATTTCTGCTCGTGTGGGGTAGGAAAAGGTCACGTTCTGAAACACGATATCAGCATGGTTGGACTCCGGATCGCGAATGCCAGCTATATTATCTGGCTTGGAGTCAATAACACCAAAAAAGGCTCCGGATGCACTTATGGCTTTCGAAATAGCCATCAGTGGCCCCGCAATGCCTCCCAAAATAGTGACCACGAGGAGCACGGAAAAGAATACCCTGATTTATTGTCAGAAAACGGCATCATAAAGATTCGAAGTTAGGATGATCATACGTGATCACGGTGTTAATATTAGCAATATGCCCTTCGCGATACAGCTTCAACCCAAACCAGAAGGCCAGGGAGAAGCTGACATACATGGCAAAGAAGAGCATAGCAAGGTGGACTCCACTGACCAAAGACATACGTAGGCCACGTTTCCGTGCTTCCTCAACCCATAGTGTATACTTTTTGAAGAGTGGTTGCTCAGCACCCAGGGCGAATACTGTCCGAATAGAGCCGAATACTTCTGCGGCGAGGGCTGCATGTTTCTCATCCGCTTTGTCCACACTCTGCTGTGCCTTCACCAAAAACGGCATTGTCAGGCTAAACCCAAGGACCACAAATACAATGGCCGCACTGACAACAAGCGTCAGTGCCCATGAATAACGGAATGCGATCGCGTAAGCCGCAACGAGTAAGGCGAATGACTGGAACAGAATGGCGAGCCGATCGGAAACACTTTGCTGGATCGTATTTGACAGCGCTGTAATCGCATGTGTCACAGTTCCGACTGACATCTCGTCCAGCTTGCTCATAGGAAGTGAAAAGAGAGCCTGGGTATACTCCAGGCGCAAGGCCCCTGAGGCGCGGAGGCTGGTCAATCGGAAACAAATCTATATCGTGTGAGTAACAATAGGGTTATGGAGGGGTAAAGCCATAGTACCATAGATATGTAAGTCAAACAGAACTTTCCGATAAACAAATACACAATATATAAGCTAGAAGGAGAGCGTAAGTTTGCTGCCATGAGGAATAGAGGGCGAGATATCTACCTGTCTTGATTGACCGAGGACTTGAATGATTGCTCTGTGATACCTGATCCTGGAATAAAGTACTGATTGAATTTGCCGACCAGCTGGCCAAAGACAATATTCATCAATGGAAGAGCCTGGAGTTTCATTAGTTGATATTGAGTACTCGACAGTTGCTCTAACTCACGACTCCTGAAGCCATAGCACAAACCAGGCCCAAAATCATAATATAGATACCCCCATTAGAGGTACCATATGATAGAATTCTCTAGAGGGGTGGGTGTAAGCGACAGACAAAGCCGGGTCCATCAATAAATCATAACCCACCGCATAGCTACCGAGACTTGCTGGTTTGGCTGTCTCTTCTTTTGAATTCGCTGAATTTGCGGCCATATCGGAACTGATGGAGATATTCTCTGGCGATGTTGGTGTGTCGACACGCTGCGGGGAAGTTGACGGAGAATGCATTTCCACCCCATCAGCACAGCGTTTTGATGAAAGAAAATCCTTTGTTAAACAGGGGCTTTTGGCACCATCTTCGGGGTTCTAATTTCGTGTGTAACTAGGGAACTGAATAAACTTGTAAAGGAGCTCGTGAGTCATTTGTCAGATGGTAAGAATCAGGGGGAACCACTTCGCACTCTGATACCACGCGAACGATTCCAGGCAACAATCAAAAAGCCAGGCACCAAAGTCTCTAGGTCATCACAACCTTTTGATTTCTCATATTGGCCGAATGGTAGAATCAGTGGAGTGAGCGGTGATGTCAAGGACGTCAAGGTGTGTGGGTTAGGTCGTGGAGTTCCGGATGTAACCCAATTCCCATTTAGGCAGTTCACGCAGTTCGTGCAGTTCTTTCATATTACCATTTTCGGAAGCATATTGTGAGACATCTTGAAATCAGCTCAATCGATGATGAATTTTACATGTCAAGTCCTTGGCAGAACGAAAACAAGGTAGACATCGCCGGAAAAGAAGAAGCCGTTGTTAAAAGATGCTGATTTCTTTTACTACGTACGTCAAGGAAGCTATCATGTTACATTTACAAATCGTATATGCCATGGTTTATGTGAAATTCCTTGGATCAGGGCGCATGATGTTTATCCTGTGCCTGTATGGAGCCCATAACGTGATTACTCTGAGGTGTAGGTAGCACTAGGTACCGTGGATGTCGATATTCTATAATTCTCATTCGAACTCGCCTCTTGGTTGCCAATTACAAACCCCCTATTCCCATAGGAAAGTAACAATACCGATAGTATCCATCGTGCGTGGAAAAAACCTGGAATAACACAAGAGACAATTGAGTGGAACAGGTAAGTGAATATAGACCCCAAAAAGAGAGCGATATTTCCTAATCGACTGGGAAGCAAAGAGACTTGAAATTATGGGTATTCAGCACCTCGAACACAGTATGAGACCATCAACAGATATGCCTGCCACGGGTGTTATCACTCCACCGGGAGATTCATTAGAGGAAACATTGATCTCGTTCAAAAAAGGCACCTTTATTCCGTCCCCATCGACTGAAGAGGAGAATGAGGTAGATGAAATTTGGCGACAAGTTGCCGATCAATGTCACTGCTCTCTGGAAGAGATTGAAGATGTATACCCCTGCACCGCTCTCCAGGAAGCAATGATAGCCCTCACTTTCAAGGATCCAAGAGCATACACCATCGAGCACGAATACCATCTGCCACGAGAGATCGACCACCATAAGCTGCAGGAGGCCTGGATTACAACAGCCCAAGCCAACCCGATATTGAGGACTCGCATGATTCCCACTAGCCAGCGCGGCTGTATGCAGGCAGTAGTGCGAGGATCAATTCCATGGCAGGTGCAGGAGACCGACGACGGCATCAACGGTGAGATCAGCAGTCCTTCCTGGAGAGCAGGGGCTCCACTGGCATATTTCTTCTTCAATGTCACCGAATATAAGCTGAAAGTGATCATTCACCATTCCATCTGCGACCACTGGTCGATGGCATTGCTGTTGCGCCAAGCCGACGCCGCTTACAGAGACGAGGAACTGGCTTTCCACCCCTTTCGGCCACTAGTGGACCATGTACAGCAGACTCAAGACAAAGCCAATGATTTCTGGAGATCTATGTTCCGTGATGCACACGAGGCCACGATGGTGGCATTTCCTCAACTACCCACTGTGGGTCATTCTGCCAGACCAACCGAGCGGCTGGAAAGGTCCTTTAGCATTCAATCTGGCAGTGGTTCCTCAAGCACCGTTGGCACCAAGATTCGGTTGGCGTGGGCTATCCTGCAATCTGTCTACACTGGCTCTGACGATACATTATTTGGAGCAGTCAACGCGGGTCGTGCAGTATCTGTTGCCGGCGTACAGGACTTGAGCGGGCCTGCACTCGCCAGCGTACCGGTGCGCATCAAGCTGTGCGGGAAGAATACCGTTGCAGATGCTTTGATTGAAGTACAGGACGAATGGGCAGCATCGATGGAGTTCGAACATGTCGGATTGCAAAATCTGCTTCGCCTTGGACCTGGGCCAGCGGCAGCATGTCATTTCCAGACGCTGCTCTCAGTCGAGCCTCGAGATGGCCATCAACTTCCCGATATATTCTCCCAGAGTCGATCGACCCAAGTGGCGTATGATATGTATCCTCTGGTCCTACGATGTCGCCCCTCAGCCGTGACAATGTGGATTGAGGCTTCTTTTGATCCGGCAGCAACCGAGGTCTGTCAAATGGAGCGGATTCTCTCCCAATTCATTCATATTTACGAGCAGATCGACACTAAGCCGGGCCTCACACTTTCCAACATCAGTGCCGTGAGCCCCGAAGATTTGAGCGATCTGCGTCGACAGAACATCTTGACCAAGCGCCCTGATGTCATCCCGTGTGTCCATTCTCTGATTGAAAGCCGCACACGACAACAGCCCTTTGCCCCGGCCATCAGTAGCTGGGATGGCAGCTACTCATATCAAGTCCTCGATGACTTGTCTTCAGCATTGGCTGACCATCTTTCCTGGCATCGTGTTGGCCCTGGGTCATTTGTGCCTCTTCTCTTGGGAAAAACCAAGTGGATGGCCGTTGCCATGCTTGCTGTGATGAAATCCGGTGCTGCCTTTGTGCTGCTAGAGCCATCACACCCACAGTCCCGGTTACGGAATATGTGTGAAGCTGTTGCAGCTCCCCTGGTATTGACTTGCGGCTGGCATATCGCTCTGGCGGCCGAGCTTGGCGTTCAAGCGTTGCTCAACGTGGATACTTTTGACCCGGAGCAGGTGCAGTGCAATAGCTCATCTCAGAGGTCGGCGATCAGCCCACAAGACCCCGTCTATCTGACATTCACCTCTGGGTCCACAGGTACACCCAAAGGTGTAATTGTTCACCACGAAGGCTTTGCGTCAAGTTCTGTGGCGCATGGCAAGCCATACCACTTCACACCAGAGTCGCGTGTGCTACAATTTGCCTCTCCAGCGTTCGATTCTTGCATTATCGAACATCTCAGTACACTGATCCAAGGAGGCTGTGTTTGCATTCCGTCAACGGACGACTGTCACGGTCATCTTGTGGAATCTATGAACCGCTTTGAAGTGGACGTTGCATGCTTGACGCCCAGTGTCACTCGCATTATTAGTCCTGATAGTCTTAAGTCCTTGAAGGTTTTGATGTTTGTCGGAGAAGCAGTTTTGGCTAGCGATGTTCTCCGCTGGGAGCCTTTTGTGCACGTTGGAAACGCGTACGGCCCAGCGGAATGCTCAGCAGTGTTCAGTGTCCAACCAAACCTCAAGAGCAACGATCCAGCAAATATAGGATTTAGCACAGGTGGATCTGGATGGGTTGTTCACCCGGAAGATCATCGGGTGCTCATGCCACTGGGCTGCACTGGAGAACTATTAATAGAAGGACCGATCGTTGGCAAGGGTTATCTATCAAATCTCGAGCAGACGGCCCGGGTCTTTGTTGAAGCACCTCCCTGGCGCTTGCAATTTGGCTCCCCTCCATCCGGAAAATTGTACAAAAGCGGAGATTTGGTGCAAGCTACCGGAGATGGTAGTTTCCGATATCTTGGACGGAAGGATACCCAAGTCAAGCTACATGGACAGCGCTTGGAACTGGCGGACATTGAGTACCATCTTCATAGAGCATTTCCGAAAGCCAGCCAGACCCTCGCAGATGTTCGCCGGTCGTTTCCTCGCAACAGTGCCAATGAACATCGACCCGAGGCATTGCTGATAGCGTTTATATGTCTCCCAGCGTCGCCTCCAGATGATGACGGCAGTCATCAAGTCGAGTTCCTTCCTCCAACCGACGAGTTTCGTGAAGCTTGTGCTGCAGCAGAGACTAGCATGTCGGATGTTCTACCATCTTTCATGATTCCACGGTTTTACCTACCTCTATCGCATGTACCTCTGACGCCATCTGGGAAGACCAATCGACGTTCCATCCAGGAGCACGCCAATAAGCTGTCCCTGGAGCAGATGAAGGCATATCGAGCTGTGAAAATTCAACCGGAGGCGCCGTCAACTTCTCGCGAGGAAAAACTTCAACAGATCTGGGCCAATACACTAAATCGGACTGTTGAAGAAATTGGAACTACAGAAAGCTTCTTTCGTCTGGGAGGGGATTCAGTCAGCGCGATGCAAGTTGCTGCAGGATGTCGCACCGTCGGACTCAAAGTAGCTGTTGCTGATATCTTCCGGTTCCCAAGCATCAGACAACTGGCAGAAAGGATCCAAGATTCTGGATCTGTGTCTTTTGCCTCAGCCGCGGAGGATGACCAAACCGAGGTGTGGTTTGAACTCTCTCCGATCCAGAAGCTCTTCTTTGAGCGAGTGCCCGATGGTCACAACAAGTTTACTCTTGAGTTCATTCTCCGGCTCGACACACCACTTCCACCTCCTGAGATTAAACGGGCGATTGAGAAGATTGTTGCAACTCATTCAATGCTCCGCGCCCGTTTTGAAAAACGAGCGGATGGCCAATGGGGACAGATTATTGGCCCTGATGTGTCTAGAAGCCTTCGGTTTAGAGAGCATCGAGTGCCGTCTATGAATGACCGTAAAGCCTTGCAGAAGATTTTTTCAATCAGCCAGAACACGCTTGATATCGTTCAGGGAGTGATGATTGTTGTTGACGTTATCACTACGGATGCCGGGGAGCAGTTCTTGGGGTTGATGGCCCATCATCTTGTGATTGATCTCGTGTCATGGCGGGTCCTTCTGCAAGACCTGGAAGACATCCTCAACACGGGCCGTACGATACAACCCCTATCCATATCATTCCAACAATGGTCCCGGCTTCAACAAAGCTATGCCCAGCAGTCTCTTGATCCGAGTGAAACGTTGAGGACAGAAATACCACGTCCTTCAATGGACTATTGGGGCCCAGAGGCTAGCCTGGGTTCGAATACCTGGGCGGATGCAACGCGACGAACCATCACGGTATCGCGGGAAACAACAGAGGCAATAATTGGTGCTGCAAATGGCGCATTTCATACTCAGCCAGTGGAAATAATCCAAGCAGCCGTACTTTACGCCTTTGTTCAGGCCTTTGAAAATCGACCTGCACCCACCATGTTCAGCGAGGGGCATGGAAGAGAGCCATGGGATCCGGAAATTGATATATCCCGCACAGTTGGATGGTTCACCACTATTGCACCTTTATTTTTGGATGTTAAGAAAGAGGACAACGTCAGGAGGATCTTGCAAATGACAAAAGATGGCCGCCGCAGCATATCCACGAACGGATGGGCATATTTTGCGTCACGATTCCTCCACCCTGAAGGACCGGAAAAATTCAAGAGTCATTCCCCAATGGAGATTCTTTTCAACTACACCGGTCTTTTCCAACAATTTGAGCGACCAGGTGCCCTTCTTCAGATGACATCAGTCCAGGATGACTCCCTTCTCCCCATGGCAGCCGATTTGCCGCGCATGGCTCTCATTGATGTGAACGCAACCGTCATGAACGGCTCCCTCAACTTGTCCTTCATCTATAATCAACAATTACAACACCAGGACCGACTAGATCAATGGATCAGCAATTGCCAACAAACCCTTGAGGAACTCCCCATGGAGCTGCAGCAGGAACAGCAACTCGCCGCTGTCGATTTTCCGTTGCTATCACTTGCAAGCGAAGAGCACCTTCACAGCCTACTCCATCAAGTCTCAGGCCGATTTGATGTATCTCCGTCTGGAATCGAAGATATGTTCCCTTGCTCGCCCATTCAACTCGGCATGTGGTTGAGCCAATTAAGAAACCCTCAAGTATACTGGTCGCACATCCGGTGGTCTCTGCACCCAACGTCAGCCAACTCCTCACTCGATACCAATCAAGTAAAGCAAGCATGGCAGCAGGTTGTTGATCGTCAACCCATCTTGCGCACTGTCTTCGCCGATGGTGTTAAAGGGCACGGTCATCCTGTCCAGGTAGTTCTGAGGACTTGTGAGGCAAACATCAAGGTATTGTCGGGATCGGAATTGCGCGCGGAGGGCCAAGTTCCGTCTCTTTCGGATGAGTTCTTGTTGAATCCAAAATCATCAAACACGAAGGGTCGCCCACCACATCAGCTCACGGTCGCAATTGAGCCTGATGGTGGGGCTTACTGCCAGCTGGCTATTCACCACATTCTTGTTGACGGTATCACTGAGCAAAGACTACTGTCTGAATTCCACCAAGCATGCAATGGGACACTAGACGCCGAGTCTGCGGGCAGCTATAGCAGGTACCTGAGTTATCTGAAGACTCGGGACCATAGGGCCTCGGAATCATATTGGAAGGAATACCTGACTGATGTTCACCCATGTGTTTTTCCATCTCTTGGACTGAAAGAGCATGCAACCGCCCCAAGCTTTCTGAAATCGTTGCCATTCTCCATGAGTATTGGACAAGATCTCTCCTCATTCTGCCGGGATCACGGTATCACCATTTCCAGTTTGCTTCAGGTCGCTTGGGGTGTTGTTCTTCGTGCATACACAGGAAGCGAGTCTGTATGCTTCGGGTATCTGAATGCTTGTCGTGATATACCAGTCCAAGATGCGCACGACATCTCTGGACCTTTAATCAATTTGTTGATTTGTCGCCTATCTTTGGCTGATGATTCATCAGTTCTCTCAACGCTTGCCGAAAATCATGCGGCCTATGCCCAAAGTCTCGATCACCAACATTGCTCTTTGGCAGAGGTCATGCATTCTTTGAGGCGCTCCGGTCAACCTTTGTTCAATACCGCGATGTCATTACAAAAGGACGCCGGAAATTTATTTACTGATAAGTCTGAAAAGATTAAATTGCAACCGGAAGATGGGATTGATTCAACTGAGGTATGTGAGGATACTGTCTAACCCCCAAAAACTTTCATTCAGAACGAAGTAACTCACAAAAACACAGTATGACCTCACGATCAATATCACCTCGCGTGAAAAGACCATCGATTGTGATTTGACATACTGGACGCACGCTGTGGCTGAAGCCCAGGCTGAATTGGTGGCCGACACCTTTTGTCACATCGTCCAGCAGCTAATTGATCCCACGATCATAAACCTAAGCGACATCAACTTATCAATGGGGAAGAATCAGAGTCAAATGCTTCGTTTCAATTACAACCTACCGCAAACTGTGCGATCTTGTATTCACACTGACATACAACGAATGACGACGGCGCAACCCTCATCCCCTGCAGTCGATTCCTGGGATGGTCAGTTCACATATGAGACCCTCGACTTCCTATCATCACTATTGGCTACGGACCTGGTACTGCTTGGTGTCGGCCCCGAGGTATTTGTGCCTGTATGCCGTGAGAGATCCCGATGGACAATTGTTGCCATAATCGCTATCATGAAGGCAGGTGGAGCATTCATCTTGCTTGACCCATCGCATCCAGCAGAGAGACTGCAAGAGATGGTGCAAGTGGACTTCCAGTGTCCAGTAATCATCACCTCATCGAGGTACCTTGAACTTGCAGCCAATCTGGCGCCAAATCCCATCATCGTGGAGGAACTCAGCCAAAAGTCTCATTCGGGGATTCGAAAAGACATTATCCCATCGGCGACCAATCCAAAGTCCGCCGCATATGCTGTTTTCACGTCTGGATCAACGGGTAGGCCAAAGGCAAGCGTCATCGAGCACCAGTCATTCCTGTCAGCATCGGCCGCACATACCCAGGTACTTCGTCTTGATAGAAACGCCCGGGTCATCCAATTTGCCTCCTACGCTTTTGATGCCAGCATTGTGGAAATGATCGACACGCTTTTGGTCGGCGGCTGTATCTGCATTCCCTCCGATACAGACCGAAATCAGAGACTGGGCCATACAATCCGCGAGATGCAAGTGAATTGGGCGTTACTGACCCCTTCTGTGGCACGCATTCTAAATCCGCAGCATGTTTCGACCTTGGAAACACTTGTGCTTGGTGGAGAGGGCATGACGAAGGACGATGTTCGTCGCTGGTCATCGCATGTACGCTTGATGAATGCCTACGGTCCTTCGGAATGCTCTGTCATTGCCGCGGCCCAGCCTTCACCGCAATACCTCTCACAGGATGAATCAAACATTGGATACCCTGCTGGTTGTGTCGCATGGGTGGCCCATCCAAACAAGCCAGAGAAGCTCGTGCCTGTGGGTGCTGTCGGAGAATTACTCATCGATGGTCCTATTGTCGGTCGCGGTTACGTTAATCGTCCGGAGGCTATGGCAGCGGCATTTGTCCCATATCCCATTTGGTTATCCAACATCCGTGCGTCCAGAAAAGGCGTCTTGTATCGAACGGGTGACCTTGTGAGACGTCTTGTGGATGGATCTATACAATACATGGGACGGAAAGACCGCCAAGTCAAGCTGCGTGGACAGCGTATTGAACTTGCTGAGGTTGAGCACCATGTTCAGCAGTGCTTCCCTACCAACGACCCCGAAGTCTTTGCAGATTTGATCGCACTAAATGGTCCCAAAGATGCACACTTGGTAGCTTCTATTGTTCAACCAGAAGACAGTGGCGATGTTCAAGCCTTCGAGGCGGCCGTGGAGCAGATGCAATCACGTCTTCGGGCAGATGTCCCAGCTTCTCTTATTCCATCGGCATTCATTCCTGTTTACCAGGTACCACGATTGGTGAATGGAAAGATTGACCGAAAAGAACTGCGACACGCAGCATCCCAAGCGCTACGATCCCAGATTGGCCAAAAGGCGACCAGTCACCACCTACGACAGTTGAGAGAAATGACAAAGGGCGAACTTGCATTGCAAACTTGCTGGGCTGAAGTGCTGGCTCGCCCTGCGGAGACAGTCGGACCCGACGACAACTTCTTCCGCTTGGGTGGAGACTCGATCGCAGCAATGAGGCTGGCTGCCACAGCTAGCGATCAAGGCATTCAACTAGGTGTCTCGGATATCTTCCTGCACCCCAAGCTTAGCGACCTCGCACTGAATTGCGCGCTTCCGGGGCCAAAGGAACGGCCAAACTCCAAACCAAAGGAATTGGATGATCCTGTGCCTCCATTCTCAATACTCCCCGCAAATAACCGGGAAGAATTGAAATCGCAGGCAATGGAACAATGCAGTCTTCCGATTGAGCAAATCGCGGACGTATACCCCTGTACCGCATTGCAGGCCGGTATGGTAGCTTTGACAGCGGAGCGTCCCGGGTCATATATCGCATACCATCGCTTCCGTTTAGGGCCAGGTATTGATCTGTCTTTATTGAAGACCGCTTGGCAGACCGTAGCAGAACACAACGGAATTCTGCGTACGCGATTCATTCAGTCGGAGTTTGGCTTCATGCAGGTCCTGGTACAGAACAGCGAGCTTCACTGGATCTCGGGGGGCATGGAGGAACACAAAAAGTTGAACTGGAACGTTCTTCTAGGTCAGCCACTGGTGCAGTTTGAAGTCGTCCCAGTCATGAGCGATGATTCCAATATGGCTCAGCGACTGGACCTGATTATCACCATTCATCATGCTCTGTATGACTCTTGGTCACTGCCTCTGCTTGTGCATCGTGCACAACAGGCCTATCAGGGCCAGGCATTATCACCCTCCGACATGACTCCATTCAAAGAATTTATCAAATATTCCATGTCCCAACAGAAAGACGCGCTCGAACACTGGCGTCGCGAATTCCATGGACTGACGGCCGAGCGATTTCCCGCACTTCCGTCCGCATCATACCGGCCTCAAGCTTCAAAGCAGACGGTACGAACAATTGAGACCGGCCCAGTGATGGATGAATGTGTCAGTCGAACCACCGCCATTCGTTTCGCGTGGGCTCTTGTTCAGTCCCATTACCAGAGTAATGACGATGTGGTATTTGGCATTGTGTCTCCTGGCCGAGCAGCATCTGTGAATGGAATTGAGGGCATGGCCGGTCCGACAATTGCCACGCTTCCTTTGCGCGTGCAAATCGATGATAATGCGACCGTCTCACATGCCCTAAGAGATCTGCAGGAGCGCACAGTACAGCTCATTCCATTCGAGCAAGTTGGGCTGTCTGAGATTGCTGCCATAGGAACGGAGGCCAAGCAGGCCTGTTCGTTCCAAACCCTTCTTGTGGAGGGGAGAGGAGAGGTTGAAAACTTGGGCACCGCCAATGATCCCATGGAGCCCATGGGAACATCGTCCGGGGATGCTGCGTCAAATACATATGCCATCCAGCTAGCCGTTATGCTCAAGCCAAATCTGGTGACTGTTGCCATGTCCACTGATGAGCGTGTCACTCCACCATGGCAAGTGGAACATATGCTAGATCAATTCAGCCACATCTTGCAGCAGGTGCACCATCATCCAGGAAGACTGGTGCACGAAATTGCTACACTGAATGACAAAGGTATCCAGCAGCTGCAAGCCTGGAACATTGGATTCCCGTCACGATGTCCGTTATCGGTCACTGATGTGATTTCCCAGCATTGTGAGAGGCAACCATTGCGCATAGCCGTCTCGTCTTCCAACCTCAGCCTATCCTATAAGGAACTAGACCTTCTTTCGAGCAACATCGCTGGCCTTCTGCGTTTGCAGGGAGCCTCATCAGAGGTCTTTGTTCCAATATACTTGGATCGGTCCTGCTGGACTGTGGTAGCGGTGTTGGCCGTGCTCAAGGCAGGGGCAGCTTTCGTCCTTCTTGACACCTCGCATCCACAAGAGCGGCTTCGGAATATCTGCGAGGAGGTAAAGCCTCCTTTCATACTTACATCGCCAGAGCATCTTCAGGAAGCTGAGGCGCTGTTCCACAATGTCGTCATCATGCCTCAGAGCATCGACTCAGAGTGCGCATCGATGCCAGATCGTGAGACGACCCGTTTTGGTACCGATCGTGCTCTTTATGCGGTTTTCACATCTGGCTCAACCGGTAAACCCAAGGGTGTTGTGATTGAGGATGGTTCTTTTATGACAATGACCAGGGAAGTTTCTCGTCTGATGGATATTGGCCCAGGTTCCCGCGTGCTTAACTTCTCCTCCTATGCTTTCGACGTCAGTATTTTGGAGATACTCGGTCCATTGCTTGCGGGTGCTTGCATCTGCGTCCTGACAGAGGCTGAGCGGAGAGGCCGACTGACCGAGGCGTTGAAAGGGCTACAACCATCTCATGCTCATTTAACCCCCAGTGTATTGCGCGCAATGACACCAAATGAGTTGGGATCACTCCGAACGATCATGCTTGGTGGAGAACCCCTTCGGTCAAGTGACATCCAGCAGTGGGTGCCATTTGCACGCCTCGTGCCCGTTTACGGTCCAGCAGAATGCACGGTCGTGTTTACTGTGCAGTCCCCAATTGACTTTAACTCGCAAGGCGGAAATATCGGTTTCCCGATTGCAGGTGCCTGCTGGGTGACCGACCCACGGAATCCCCACCGAGTCGCTCCTATTGGTGCTGTGGGCGAGCTTCTTCTTCAAGGGCCTCTGGTGGGTCGCGGATATCTGAACAGTCCGGACCAAACAGCTACAAACTTTATCTCATGTCCAACATGGATGCAACGTCTTGGCCTCACTAGTGGTGGCCGGGTGTATCGAACTGGAGACCTTGTCCGTTATGAAAAAGACGGATCTCTCTCGTTTGTAGGACGAAAGGACCTCCAGGTCAAGCTACGAGGTCAACGCTTTGAGCTTGCAGAAGTTGAGAAGCGACTGCAGGAGATTTGGCCCGAAGATCTGACGGACATCGTGGCGGAGATTGTGACTCCGATGGCTTCGATGAATTCCAAATGTTTGGTTGTCTTTGTCGCTTCGAAATCGGCTGAGATGGCGTCACCGGTATCGATTTCGTCTATCGCTTCCTTAGATATTGTTGCCCCGACCAACTTTACGGCCCAGATATCTAGTGTCAGACGCCAACTGGGCGACATCCTTCCAGATTATATGGTACCGTCTGCCTTCGTGCCGCTTCGACGGATACCTCATACCGCTAGTGGCAAAGTGGACCGAAAGCGGTTGAGAGACTCAGCGGCGAGCGCAACGCGTGTTCAGCTGGAGTCATTGTTCGCTGAAGCTCCTTCAGATAAGCGAATGCCCACCATGGGAACGCAGCGGGAATTGCAGCACATCTGGGCGAAAATACTCGGTATTTCAGCCGATGATATTGGTGCTGAGGACAGCTTCTTCCAATTGGGGGGTGATTCGATCTCGGCTCTCAAAGCCGCATCAAGGGCTCGGGCAGCCGGGATTGAGCATTCAGTGGAGAGTTTGTTCCAGTGGAAAACTATAATGCGCGTTGTCGAGCATGCTACCATCTTGAACCCCAGCGATATCATAGATGGGATACAGACTGCAGCTTCTTCCTCGCAGCACCATATACCCTATTCTCTGATTACAGATGACGAGCATGCAGAACTTTTTGCTTGGCACTCCGCAGCGGGACCTTCGTTGGTCAAAGATAATGTGGAAGACATCATCCCAGCGCTCCCATTCCAAGTTTTTTACATAACCCATTCATCGCCAGTCTCGATCGCACAAGTGTTCCCAGCAGCCCTGGAAATCGATAGACTGGAGAGCACGTGCAGGCAGGTTGTGACTCACCACAGCATCCTACGCACGGTATTCATAGAGGCCAATGGCCGGTTCTTCCAGGTGATCCTCCGGGAAGTTGAGCCTGTGCTAAATGTTGTTCAATGTGATGATCCAGAGGCATATGTTGCTCGAGAGTCTGAGCAAAGGGATCCACCCTCTACAGCCCAGGGTATAATGCCAGTCAGCTTCACTCTCGTGACTAGTGGCATCAAACAGTGCTCTGCCTTGATTCTTCGCATATCTCATGCGCAGTATGATGGTGCCTCCATACCGTTGCTGTGGGAGACAATCAAAAAAGCCTATCAGAATGAGCCTCTCACACCGGCTGCACAATTCAAGGATGTCGCTTATAGGCGAATGGGCGATCTGAACAAAGCCGAGATTTCATTCTGGCAACGATATCTTCAAGGTGCTCCGTCCGCTGCCCTTGACCCCCTTGATCAAACTGGGAAGGCAAGAATCTCAGGCAATGACATAGTCGAGAGGCGCCAAGTGGCAATGCCCTCTCTCGCACCGGACATGACCGTGTCAACGCTCGTGAAAGCAGCTCTCTCATGGGTCCTCTTTGAGGAAACTGCGCGATCTGATATCATTTTAGGTCAGGTTGTGCACGGGCGTGGAAGTTCCTTGGGCGCGAATACGGCCATTGGACCCTGCTTGAATCATCTGCCCGTTCGAATCAGAATTGAACCTGACTGGACGGTGGAGGATTTCTTGCATCACGTCCAGGTACAGCAGTTAGCAATCACTACCCATGACGAGGCATCGTTTGACGCAATCGCAGAATTTTGCACAGAGTGGCAACCTGGCTCAAAAATGGCTTGTCTTGTGCACCACCAGAGCGAAGAATCTGCGGAGCCCTTCGAGATGGGCGGTGTTCGCTCGTCGTCTGGTTGCGACTGGGCCAGCTCCAAGCTGGCGCACGGTCAGCTGGGTATCATTTCTGTGGAGCACGGATCTCAGCTTGAGCTTATGGTCACAGCTACTGAGGAGACCATGGATCAACGCAGCGTTGAGTTCCTGTTGGACAAGCTGGTTAGTACCGTTCAGTTGTTCTCGAAGCATTCCCAGTACCAGTTGGCAAGAGTGGCTAGCATCCACACATGATGATCTTGTCTTGTTTCGAGCGGCATTCCGTAAATTTGTATATAAGTGGAGGAATATGGAAAGGGGGGTGCGGCGGGCAAAATTGTAAGATCGAATGCCAGGTTTTTCAGGCCTAATTACTGAGCATGCCTGAATTATAGACTAGCAGAAATCAAAATAACCTGAATTATCATGACAGCGGGCTTAAAAAGCAAAGTGTCTAACCTTGGAACTCAGTCCAAAAATTGAAGCTATTCCCACCATACATATTTCCCATTTTGTGCGGTCGGAGGTGGTTCTTGACGCCCAGCTGATGATTTGTATGGTCTATAGGAATAGCTTCAATTTACAGTGCACGGTATAGAGCGGTGTCGAAAGCGGTCTATACATGAGTTCCCCGCTCCGCTGGCGCCGAACTGGAGTGTGAATTGATATTGGGTTATCCACATGAGCCCCTACAGATAAGAAGGCGCCACAAAAGAGGAGCTGGATTGAGTTGGGGCCTCAAGCCGCACGCCCAGATCGACACAGACTTCGATCCAGCCGACTTCTTGCCTCTCTCAACCCTTGTGTTCTAGACCAGCTTAGCCCAAAATCCCGCTTTGCAAGGGCATATGGCGTGTACAACATGCTGGCGCCATTTTCGACAGGCGCAGAGCCCACGACACCCCGGACGAGCCAAGCCCCTGCCAAACAACACCGGTTCCGCTCCGTGACAGGGTGTCTCACATCTCGCCAGCGCAAGAAAAAATGCGATGAGAGAAAACCAAAATGCGTTGGATGCACACGAAACAGCTTACAATGTGCCTGGCCGGTTGTTGGTCCGCGCTCAAAGTCTCAGAAATTGATAGTCCAAGCTGCATCACAAGGTTATAAGAATAGTCCAGACCGGCTCGACCCATCACCCAGAGACCCATCGGCTCAATGGTCGAGTCTCACAGCTTCGTCCGTGTCTCCAACGAAAGCTTCAACGCTTACACAGGCATCAAACCTTCTCTTTACACATTACATAACTGAAACGGCCAACGTTCTGTCTTCCTTTTCTCCAGACGGCAATAACCCGTCGGTGACTCTACTTGTACCTCTGTGCCGCAATGATGAGCTGCTCATGCATTCATTGCTAGCACTTAGTGGGGCCCATATGAAGTCCCGAAACCCTGGGCTCGAAGTATCTCTCGCGATATACAGACATTACTCGGTCGTGATAAGGACAATTCGGGATCGTATTTCAGACCAGACAGCATTCGATGTACCCCAGGCACTCCGAATGTTGTTGACACTGATGATACTAACGTTCTTCGAGGTAAACACATGGTCTTAGGCCTCGCGTCCACAAAAGGCTCACTAATGCAATGTCTAGACGCTATCTGGAGACGACCAAGGGGCAATATTCAGCCACCTCCGCGCAAGCCGCCAAATCATTATCCAATTAGCCAACAGCTCGTTACCGTCAAGCATCAATGACAACGGACGCCTGTTTGCATTTGTGTTGGAGATATATCCTTTTTAATTCTCAGTAACAATATCGTCCCCTACGGCTCTATCAATCGCCGAACCGTGCTTCAAGACACATTCGTCGACGGCATCCTCGGCACAATGGACCATTTCGACACATGGGGAGTCGTCTTCGGCGACACAGATGGCTTATTCGAAATTCTGCCCGACATAGCAGTTCTTGCCGCCCGACGTCTCACAGAGAAAACCCCTTCACAGGCGAGCTTAGAGATGCACCTAGCACTCTACGCCCGAATAACAGAATATAAACCTCCAGATTCTGCAGTCAATGGTCAGAAATCGCAGCCGCAACGGGATACAGCACTCAATCTCTGCCGGGAGGCTACCCTCCTCTATCTCAGGACCGCAATGGTCCCAGATGCATTAAATGACACTGTAACATTGGCGAAAGTACAGAAGCATATCGACAATGTCATGCTATACGCAGAGCAGGCCACTAGATCACCTTATGAGGCTATATTCCAGGGTCCTCTGGTTATTGCAGGCTCCTGCATGTTGCGAACTGAACAACGACAGTCACTCCTAGATGGCCTGCGGTCCAACAGATTTCACATGCAGCACTGCTTGCAGGCTGCTTTGCATCTTGGGCAGCTTTGGAATGACCCGAGTGGACGTGTATTCGGGCCATATGGATTAGCAACTACCATGCGCCGTCGTGGGATCAACTTAGGCATTGCAATAATTCTTTCGGCGAAAAGCAAAAAAGCTACGAAGACACTTAAACGCGATAGACTTGTCACAATTCGGGGCAAGGGGTAAAGACTGCGACCTGGAATAGATGGAGGATCAAACTTCCATGGGCGGGCGAAGCACCTGGACAAAAGTCGTGGAGATCCAAAACCCATCAGACTGGGCTTCCTCTTCGGTCTCTATGCCTTGATTGAAATTCACAAGTTGGTCCAATAAGTCTTTGAGAGCAGTCCGCTTGTTGACAAAGCAAGCCCATTTGGAATGTGAGACTTGAACCTGAGAGTGCCTGCAACGTGTACACTAACGGGGCCCGCGGGGACCGATGACCCACATGTGGAACCCTAACTCTTATCGATTACCGCGTTTATCAGGTCTATAATACCCTCGAACACGATGTCCATATCCCCTCCCGTCTTCTCTTTGATTAATACATGGTTTCTCGTTCCCCATCCTCGATTGTGCATATAGGAGAACAATCGACAATGAGTGCTAAAGGAGTCAACGAAGTCGAGCTGTCTGGCGACATCGACTTCATTAAGACCCCTGCAGCCAAACCTGCGAAGCTCCAGACCGGAGAGGACTGTGGAATTGGTCTGACAAACGTGTGTTCATGCCATTGACCTCCCTCCTGCCTTCAACCTGGCTAATCTCTCCAAATAGTTCCCAGCCATTCACAATGCGCCGCTGCCCGCGGATGGCCCCGGAAATGAAAGCTTCTCGAACCTTCTCCTAGGCGGCGTCCTCGTCGGAATTCCTACAATTCTTACCTACCTGCTCAATGGAGGTCAGAAGACATTCTTCTTCCTTTTAATCCTTCTCTTCCTTCCTCTTTTGGTTGTATTCTGGTCCTGGAAATCCAGCAGCAGCCCCCGCACCAACGAAAAAGTCAAGCTACCCGGCCGACCCATTGAATATTACTTGACCTTCAAGCGCGAAGCGGATAAAGCGAAATGGCACGGAAAGAACAAAGTTCCCCTCCAGCGATTTGCGGAAATGTACCTGGACGGCTTGGTGGATTTCAACGGCGACGCACTTGAGGTCATGGAATACCGTCACGACTGGGCGAACTTCTCTTTTACCTTGGACCTCTTCAAGTTCATCTTTTTCACCTTTTTCAAGGACATCATCTTCCACACCAAAGCCCAAGATGAGGAACAGATCCGTCCCAACTATGATCGCGGTAACGACCACTATGCTTGGTTTCTTGGCCCTCGCATGATCTATACCTCCGGCATCATCTCAGACCCGGAGAAGGAGGAGACCCTCGAAGAAATGCAAGATAACAAGATGGCCATCGTCTGCGAGAAGATTGGCCTCAAGGAAGGCGAGACCATGCTAGATATTGGCTGCGGCTGGGGAACCTTCGCTAAATTTGCCAGTCTCAACTACGGCGCTAAAGTTACCGGACTTACTATCGCGGAGAATCAAACCGCTTGGGGCAACGACGCTCTCCGCAAGGCGGGGATTCCTGAACAACAGAGTCGTATTCTCTGCCTCGACTACCGCGATATTCCACGGACAAAATATGACAAGATCACGCAGTTGGAAATGGGCGAGCACGTTGGTATCCGGAAGCTTACCACGTTCTTCCGCCAGTGTTATGATATGCTCAATGACGACGGTGCTATGTATGTTCAGCTTTCAGGTCTGCGTCAGGCGTGGCAGTACGAAGATTTCATTTGGGGTCTGTATTTGAACAAGTACATCTTCCGTGGCGCAGATGCTTCAACTCCTCTGTGGTACTATGTCAAGTGTCTGGAACAAGCTGGATTCGAACTCAAGGGGTGAGTTTTACTTGGGCTCTAGGACTGTCCTCGCAAGTGCACTTACTGACAATGACCAGCATTGATACTGTCGGTGTTCATTACTCCGGTACCCTCTGGAGATGGTACCGGAACTGGACTGGAAATGTGGACGCAATCAAGGCCAAATATGGCCCCAGATGGTATAGAGTAAGGTTTCCCCCGTCTACCATAGTACTTTCCATGAAGTCTAACATGCCCTAGATCTGGGAGCTGTTCCTCTCCTGGTCCGTTATCGCCTCTCGGGAAGGCATGGCCACCTGTTACCAGATGGTTGTAGTCAAGAACCTGAACTCAACTCATCGTATTAACGGTGTCTCTTCTCAATTTGGCCTGGCCGGTGCTCTCGCCACAAGTAAGAAGGCGGGCAAGTCTCAGCTGCATTAGGCGGCTTGCCGTCATGGGTTGCCGATGTGATGGACTTCCAAACGCAAACTCCATAGGTTGCGCGATGGATGATGCCGGAAGTTTGTTGTGAAATGAGTCATTATCAAATGCAAAAAGCCAATAAGCCAGTAAGAGGGGGCTTTGCGCAGCATTAGAAGTTAGAATCAGTCCCTTCGCTCTTAGGCCGCCGAGATCATTAAGGAAGTACTCGTTATGTGGCTGATGTTATCCGGAGTGTACGGAGTAATGAAATAACAGTGCCAAGATCGACCTATCCTAATTAGGTTAGACGACTGTGCCAGTCGTGATTTTCGACTACAACATACAATGTTGTATGCCAACAATTTGCAGGACCCTCTCATAAACTACATGCATTATATATTTCTCTCTAGTTGTATGTCTAGCACATACGACCATAGGGTGTGGAAAACAGGGCTTCCCGTCCGCTCAGCCGTACTTAAGCCACACGCCGGTGAGTTAGTAGTTGGGTGGGTGACCACCAGCGAATCCTCACTGTTGTATGTTTTTGCTTTTTATTTGTTCACTATAGGTAATAGTAGCATGTTCATCTTAGGCCCCGTTGTGGAACTCCATATAGAGTACGGAGTACAAAAGAATATTCTAGGAACTAAGCTTAACGAGACATAAGAACACTTGATATATTGATCTATCTAACGCTATGACCATC